ATCGTTCTACGCAAAGGTTTTTAATTATTCCACGAAAAGAAGAAACAAAAGTTTTTTATGTCTTCTCGGCAACATAGAGATGAATGAACTGTATACAATTACGATTCACTCAAAGCCGATCGGAGGATTGATACGCTGATAATAGGCCTGCCACATATAACAGGCAACTATATAAGGATATGCGGTAATCAGTAAACCGATTCGGGGAGAGGAGGAATGATGCCGTTTTTCGAAAAATCCTTTTGTGATTTGCTCTACGAAAATGCTGAAACAGAACTTTTTGTGATTTTCTTTGCCTTGTTCTTATTAATCCGCGAACACCGCGTTGTCATTTTTGATGAAAAATAATTTTTAAAGATAGGTTTTTTGGTTAATCTTGAATTTGATGCTTAGCTGAGATATGGGTGCGATTAGAATAACTATCAAATTATAATGAACATGCTGCCGGTTACAGAAGAACTAATAAATAACCACTTACTCTTGGAAACGATTATGGCAAAATTTATACAGTAGAAAACATTAGAGCATGTGATCGAAGGCGTTCTACGGAAAAGATGAATGAGTCTCTGCTTTGTGAAATGGAGATTCAGCATATCTAACAACTCTCCTTAATATCGCATGGAGTACCTCGAGACTCTTTAACTCAATTGGATTTTGAACGAATTTATCGGATGCTATAATCAATGTGAGAGAAAATCGTCTTTAACGGACAATCATGGGAGTCTTCGTCCAAAACTGTTTTGGGACATGCTGAGTCCTTTCTTTGACAGCTCAGAGATCGTTATACTAAAGGTTCTAAAACCATATGAAGTAGAAAGAACATTTGTTACTTTTGAAAACAGTTTTCAACTGAAGCTCAGTGTATAACTTGACATTATGAGCAGGCGTGCATCAATATCGATAGGTATCGAAATTACCGTTCCAGTATTATCGATAAGTGATTGATTGATAACCATACAAGACCAGAGTAAAATCCTAAAAAGAGCTACTAGTGTCTGGGGAAAGTGAGGTAGAGTGAAGACATTGACAGTAAAAATAGATAACTGTAAAAGATCTGAAAAGAGAGCCTAAAAAACTATCCACTCTTTGTATGTCCTGGTAACTTAGGATCTCTGCACCTGTGATACTCTGATGGATCGTGATTTTGTTCATTGAAAAATAAAAGCGAAACGATTCTATTGATTATGTAATTTACACAATTCGACTTGAACAGACTAGTAAGAAAGCTTTCCGCTAGGGCGCCCCTCTTTACTTTCCTAGTTGAAATCTTTTCTCCAAATGTATGCTTGACTTCGAGCATCGATATTATCGAAACATAGCTTTATCGTTATTGATAATATTCATACTAGATAATGTTGATAGTCGACAATATAACAATTAAAACAATAGTATCGATGCATGCTATAATAACGAGTATCAATAGTATCGAAGACCGATAATATCTACATTGGATCATATCAGATGTCGATTGTCGATATATTTTTTATTTATCGTTATAATTATAGACTACGCTGTACATGTAATCTATCAATAAGAAAAGTTTTAATATTCATCGCTTCAGGTAGAAGTAAATCTGGAAAAGGCCCGCGGCAATTATTTTTGCACCCTACTGTATTTATGTAGCTGTATACATCATTGGTGAAAGATAAGAAATATATAAAGATCTGCGTATATGTCAGCTTACGCTATAACTCATTTCTGGTGGCTCATTATTCCATAGTTTTACCTCCGAGAAAACCGAAAAAGAGTCATTGAACATGTAGAACATCACTTCGTATTGCAGTTGTAAATATAAATGAAAGAATGAAGCGTAAAACTGCGACAAACCTTGAGATATCCATGTAAAAAAGTTGATAGAAAATCGCTATGGGAATAGGTATGTTACAAACGCAAACTCAAACCCAAGTCACTTGGGTGTATAGACCCAATTACACGGGTCGTCAAATCGTATTCAAATCAACTCTTGTCAAATAAGCTCGATTAACATTACGGCCGTACGTCGGCAATATCGATTTCACTTGATTTGACACAAATATCTTCGTTTGAAACCAGTAAAAGAGAAAGAACAATAGAAAAGACTTCTATTTTTCAGGAGAGGATTCAAACGATCCAGTCGATAGATTTTGATAGTCGAGTGAAATGCAAAGAAGAAACGATCTTTGTCGATCGATATCTACCCGATGCTGCTTTCTTTGGGTCATCGATTGAAAATGAAGTTTCAACTATATATCGATCATGTATTCTCAAACTCTTAACAAAATGTAAGTCTATAAGTTTTCCTTTACTTAATTTATTTGGGTAGATAGCTTCACAACAAGCTCATACAAATTATAATCAATCTACAGTTCATAAACAAATAGTTCTTATTGGGCAAATCCCAAGGTGATGCGAAGTATCATACCCCAATAAGAAGTTTGAAGTTCATTTGGTGAGAGCTATCTGCGCGTCACGAATTGTTACTGGTGATAAATCAATGTATAACCTACAAGACGATGCTGTTGCTCATCTACCTAATGCTTGAATAATGTGTTGTGGTATACCGACGGAAGCCGCGGCAGTAGCAGCGCCACGTCTTAGAGAGTGACCAGAATACAGATTAGCTGGAAATTTCAAACGTCTTAGAAGCTGACGCACTTTTTCAATGAAAACTGATCGAGACAGTGGCAGACCTGTCGGAGTTAAGAAAAGACGATCATCCGTACAGACAGAGATAGTTTTTCGGACTGAAATAAAGCGTTTTAGAAAAGCAGTTGGACAAACTGTATGATTTGTCTCGAAAATAGAGATAAAAACTCATCTGCGAAAGAGGTCAGTTTTAGACGCTTTTAAGCGTAGAAATGCCTGCATGTTACATTCAGAAAAGATAATATCTCTCATCGAAATATTAGCATTAGGATCGAAGTTATTGTTGAAAGTGCAAAATTCTCTGCATCGCAGGAATCCAAAGAATCCTAAAACGAGAGCTGTTTGTAATAATAAATCCCAGTAAGAGCTGAAAACTCCCGATTTTAATAGCTGAATGAGGTTTCTTAAAATGGTAAACGTAATAGGGAGACGGGGACGAGTAGTTAAATCTTCTAGACGCTTAATGGCTCTCAGTAACATGAAAAGTTTGGCGCCAGCTCGATGTTGATCAAAAACCGCTACTGGCAGTCCATTTCGTACATAAGTGAATTTAATAGCAGATAAATATAGCTTGATGCATGTGGATTTTAAACGTAAGTCGGAATAACGGAAAGCAATAAACTCCAACATTGTTTGTTCAGACAAGATGGGAATGTTATTGAGAGTTGGTTTATTATAACGTGTGATAAATTCCATGAAACGTCCAAACGCAGAATCATATGATCATTTATTTCTAATTAAACGAGGACAATCAGTTCCATTCTTTCCGCCTCTATGAAGCTTAGTATAGCATTTTAGACATACGTGATGATATTTACAGTCACTCCTATGACATTTATTAGTATTCCAATTCTCACATATCTCAAGCTCCACTCAAGCTCCACCAATAACAGCTTTTGCTCGTTGTGTTTGACGAGCGAAGGACGATGAACTAGCTGTAGTAGCAGTACCACCATCAGGAAAAACCACCGACGATGTTGCTAATAGGAAACTCGATAATGTGGCGGATTCAGATAAGTTCGGGCATGAATATAAGCCGTGATCTGCCGATCCACAATTCGGGCAGTATTTCGCTTTTCTACCTGAGACAATGCTTGCAATACTTTTCTTAACCGAGATTGTTGCGGAAAAGTTCGAAAAAAATGAAAATTGCCCCAAAATCCTGAGAGACACATCAACCAAGTCAGCTTTTGATGCTGATTCCAAATATGACATTGGTTTTGCAATAAATGATAAGTTGACGGTGAAAACTGCAAAATACAAGTGAATTTTCTTGTTTGTTGCTACCTGTTTCAAGAAAATTAATTTTCTCAGCAACCGAACAATATTTTCCAAAACCAATACTAACTTTTTTTCCCTCAAGTGTGATGACTTAAATAAAGAAAAAAAAACTTGCCTAACTGCTAACCAAAAAAACTGGATAGGCTTACAAGAAGTTCGGGTGGGGGTCCAACCGTTCTGCTAGGTCTTCAGCTATTTCAGTCGGCCAGTCAGGTTCTAAAAGTATCTGAATTACTTTTTATATTCAATTTTGTATGTAAAATCAGGAAAAAATAGTACCAAAATTTTAAAAAGACAATAAACCGTCAAATTTTGCTTTTTCTTGAAAATTTTGCTGAATTTTGCCCATTTTTAAGAAATCAATATTTCAAAATTTTTTAAACGAAAAAAGACCTTCAGAAATCCAGTTTTCAGTTTTTTCTAGGTAACTCGATGGGCTCTTTAGTAATTCGATGAACTTTTTGAGAATAAGTTTATACCACATAAGGGTCGTGTGTCAGTGACACACGATCCTTATGTCACAATTCAAAAATGAGTTTCATTTGTATTGAGTAACAACAACAGAGAAGAAAAACTTTCACTAACATATAAAGAAACGTTGTTTAATCATCAAAACACCTTAAATAATTTTTTTCAAAAACAACATGCTTGTAACGGGTGGGTCATAAACAATTATATTGTTAGTATTTTCAATGTTTCTTCAATGCAAACAACATGCACACTATTGTAAAAGTTTCAAATATGGTTTAATGCCACCAAGACGGCAGAGATAACAACTTTGTTCTTGATCACTATCGAATATTTGTTTGAGTGAAACTCTTCTTTTCATATTTTTAAAATGAACTATGCTCTCGTCTTTAAACATGAAACGCAGAAAAAGATAACAATTTATCTACTTGAGGCCACAAATTCATTTAAACCGTCATCATTTTCTTCTTATTTTCTCTTGACTCTGCTCAGTTACTACTTCTCATTTCGTATGTTAACAAGAAACCGACACCACCTATCCTTGCTGTAAATACACGAACATTTTATAACATATTACACATAGAATGACGCAAGTTGATGTCCTTCTCTTCAATTAGAATAGAAATATGTCTCTTTTATTCTTACTCTGTTTGGTTTTGCTTACTCTCAACTCTACTTTATCATGTTCGGTTGATAATTGTGAAAAGTGTAGTGAACAACTAATAACCGTTAAATATTGGAAGAGTAATCAGTATAGTTGTCATAAAACATGTTTTCATAATTCAACATATTCATCTCAAGGGTACGAATGTTATTCATCGAGTATTCATCGTTGGAACGTTGTTTGTTACGATGAATTGTGTTATTGTGAAAAGATTGAACAATTAGAAGATTGGTGCGATCGATGTAATGATGGTTTTAAATTAAATCGAACAAATGGTCAATGTGAAAAGGAAGACACAAAAAATTCTGAACTATTAACTCATTTAACAGATGATCGAAAAATAACAGAATTGACTTGGATTGGAGCACATAATGCTGGTGCTTATAAATTACGTTTTCTAAATACTCTTTCACATGGTATTCGAGCAAATATTGATGATCATCATTGTGGAAATTTAAATAACTTTCATCGTCAATTTGGCGAAGCAGTTCTAAAACGTGGCTCAGAGAATCAACATTTATCCATTTACGATCAATTATTAAATGGTATACGATTTTTTGATTTAGATATTTGTGAACATGACAACATCATTCGAACGTGTCATTGTTTATGGGGTAATCAAATTCAAGTTTTTCTCCAAGATATTCGTACATGGTTGACTGAAATTTCGAACAACAACGAAATTATAATCATTCAATTTTCTGATGGTTCACATAAAAATTCGACTGTAGAAAAACTCGTAGTGTTAGTTGAATATTATTTAAAAGATTATTTATACAACTTAGATGCTACTAATTGGCCACCAACTGTGGGTGATTTACTATCAAAAAACCAACGTGTTTTAATTCTATGGAAAGGCCATACATTTGATCGTCGATGGCAAATTTCAGCAAAAAAATATTCCCGTGGTTCATATGCTCATACGACTAGTTTCAATAATCTAGTAAAACATCATATAGAAACATGTAAAAAATTTGATACTATAGTGAATAAAAATTATTTTAATTTTATTCATTGGTACTATACAATCGATTCGACAACAATAATTTTAAATTTATTTACAAAAACTCTACTTATGGAAGAAAAACAACGCAAATTACATGAACAATTAACAACAGTACTAAAGAGTGATAATAACTGTAAACGAGCGAACGTTATTTTAGGAGATTTTGTTGATGCAAATTTTGTCAGCATTATTAAGAAGTTAAAATCATGAGAAATAAATTTAATCATTTGACGAGTGAAACGTTTTCACTTATTCTGGTACTTTGTGAAACCAAGTAGTTCAATCGATAGTGAATAAATACACCATATCATATAAAAATAAACTTTTTAGCAGTTCTTTCTTTTTAAAAAGAAAAAAAGAAAGAAAGTAAAAGAATTTTATTGTTCGATAGGGCTAGACCGAATGATGGTCTATGCTTAATTACAGGTTTTATTAGAAATTCTTGATTCATAAAGCCAAGGGAGAAAAGGCGACTTTTTGCTTTCTTAGCATCAGAGAACATCGGCTGCTTCGGATCTCAAGTTTTGGACAGCATTTCAAAGGTTCCGGAAAGCTCCCGGAACCGGCGTTTCTCCCTTGCATAAAGCACACTCATAAAGTCACAAATTGGCGGAAAAACTAAAAATATTTCAAATACAAAAGCGTCATTTGCGACTCATCTGGTGTTTTTTCTAGAAAATAAAGTAGTAGGAGAGTTCAATTTGCACTGCATTAATCTCTTAATAAGCTCATCGTATGGTAGAATACTTCCAGTTAGACATTTATAACGGGTGTCCCATAAATAATGCATTGTATTTTGCGCTTTCCCCTGTCCGTTTTGATATTTGAATTTTTTTCTGCAATTTTCATTCAATTCTCTATAAAATCATATGAAAAGAATTCCTGTAAAATACAATCGTGAAATCCTATGCTGTCAACAGTAGTATACACCTGAAGAGAACCTTTACAAATGCCCTTTTCCCTAAAATTAATTATCGTTAATTAACACCTCCGTCTGGCCACGAAGACGCCAAATAACCCTGGTGCGCGTTTTCCTGTGTTTTCGACTGTCTTCTTTCCAAGGAGAAAACACCGCACTCCGCTAACTCCGTCACTCCGAGGAGGTTAATCAGAGTAGCGGAGTAATTCTGAGTGACAGAGTGGGCGGAGTGATCCTGGAGTGAGTGGAGTTTGATGTTTTCGATTGACGTGCTTTGCTTTCTCAAAGTCTGTTTTCATTTGTAGTATTGTCTACTAAATCATAATTCCTACAGTTCCGCAGTTCCTAATGTTTTTATAGCTCCTATAGTTCTCAATGTTTCTAGGGTTAGGAACATTAGAAACTGGGCGCACTGTAGAAACTACAGAAACATAAAGAACATTAGGAACTATGGGAATTATGGGAACATTAGGAACTGCTATTATTATCGCTTCTTTCAACAACTTGGATTGTTAGTATTCATTAATACCGTGCATACTATTCCCAAGAAGAAAGCGAATCAACAAATGCGAGAGAAGAGAATTATAGCACTTGTCACTTTGGCCACTCCGGAGTGAACCGGAGCGGCAGTTCACTCCGTGGAGTAGTGGAGTATGGAGTACGGTGTTTTCCCCTTGGGGTTAACCTTTTACCTACCACCATTGATCTATAGAAGCTGACGGCAAACTAACTAATAGAATAAAACAATTAGTAGTACAAATATATCAATTTCAAGCTTGAATCAAATCAAAGTTGCACCAATGTTGAGCAATGCCATCCATAATCCGTAGACAGCGAGCAACATGAACAAATTACAAAAAAAGTACTCTTTTACACCTAGGCTGTTACTTTATAACCTAACATACTTTTATTAGCAATTGTATCGAGTATTCATTGTCATACAATTAAATTTATTTTTTCTTGATTATTATTTAGTATGAAAAGCTACAAAACAGTTATGTTGTGGATGAATGCGTAAATGTAATTCACATTTAGAACATCTCCAGTGAGTTTTCGCATTTTTCATATTTACACCCAAATTTTGATCGTATAAATTTTGGCCAATGTTCATCACATAAAGGGTGGGCCAGAAGTCCTGACTCGATTTGAATAATAAATTTTTCTATAGTGAAACAAGTGGTTGTAAATTTGTCTCTATGAAGAA